TCGTCTTGCACTCGCTGTAACTGTTGCTCGTGCTCACAAACAACCTCCTCCAGCTTCTGACGCAGCTGTTCGAGTGCTTTTGCGCTGGCTTCACCGTGAACAGGAACCTCCTCAAGATTCTTTCGCATCCCCGCCGTTGCAGCTTGAGCTGCATCAGAGCTTGCTCTTTTTCCATCAAAAACGCCTTTAGTATCTCCTTTTGCTGTAAGACTGTCTGCAACGCCACTTCCTTTTCCTTCAGCTGTTCTTCATATTTCTCACTAGCAGCGTCACTCGCTACAGAAACGGCTTCCTTCATCTCTTCTTTGCAGCCTCACATACCGTCGTCAAGTCATCATTCTGTTGTTTATACTTTTAGTACTTGAGTTGTCTTTGTGCTCAGCCGATCAACAGACAGCAGAAAACGCTTCACCGCAAAGCGCACCGACTGAGAGTACCAACTTCATGTTGTTCACCATAGCACAAACATTCTGCATACCGCTTTCAAGTTGACTCACACGGGTCGTGAGCATCTGTGGCGGCGACATTGCGTCAGGCTCTGCAGACCACCTTGCTGAAGTCCGCAAACATTAGTTTTACCGTTAGAGTAAGAAAATTCGAAGCCGAAGACACGACGTTAACGACGAACGTTGCTTGCCCAATACAACCTCTACGTCTAGCTCTTGTTCTTCAGCGCCTTCCGCAATGGTGAACAAGCGCATATTGACGCCAAGGCCGATCACGACCATCTCAGAAACATGACGGCCTCGTTCAACGAATGCAATACTCATGCTATCCCAACGTAATGTAATCTGCATTGCTTTAAACATGATGTTGCTTGTCTTGGCAGCATTTTCCTGCACGATTGCATTGTAATCAGAAAGAGAGAGCTCGTCTTAAACTCCACACAGCTTTTAATTCGTCTCCAGCGCAAGTAGCAGCTCCTTTTCTTATTCCATTTTCATTTGCTTTTTCACATCATCCAATGCATCACCAGATCAAAGTAAACGCTGTTAGCTTTTTCTTCTCTCTGTACAAAAATACAAACTTACGTTTATATACAATATATACATGACACACACTCAATACCGTATCTGTAATAACTTGCATTTTTTCCAAGCATAGATTCCGACGTATAATGCTCATAATATTACCATGACATTTAGGCTGATGATCAGCATAATTACACATTATCAAACAAAAGGTACAACAACAGATGAGGTGGTGGTGAGAGACGTCATTATTGAGTAAAACCGCAAAAACACAAAAAAGAATGGCCAGACTGGTATGACACTAAAAAAAGCAACGTGTATTTAACCATGGTGCATGACAGTTGGGTTCAATCTTGCATTCATAGTTGCAAGTTCAACAGATTACCGCAGTTTTGGCAGTGTGTACGTTTCCTACATTTTAAACGACAAGAAGAATTTGACGGATAAATGGACGGCCAGTATTACCCCATAAAAGCAAAGAAATTGCTGTCTATGCGCATTGTTGTGTCAAATAAAGTATTACATTTCTAAATGCGGCATTTGCTGGTGCAATAAGCGTTTCCTTGCACATGTATAAGTTCCCTTTACACCCACGAGCAACAAAAGAATGCCGGTTTTTCATATCGTGACTGCCGGTTTAGTCCACGAAAAGCATCAGGTTTAGTCCAAACTTTGAATGTCTCTAGGAATCTTCGCTCCTATAATTAGCGCGAACGAAGAAACTCAAAGTTTAGAAAGACGTTTTAATACAGTCCAGTTTTATAGTTAACTCCAGGTAGAATGTAGCGAATCTTTGCAAGCGGCTCCATTGTGATGCCGTGGGAGAGTTAGGAGACAGGGTGAGGCTAATGTGGAGGGGGCATGATAATAATGTGGTGTGCGATGAGCATCGGCTGGTGTGAGAGACTGAGGGTGTAACGTGAGGCTAATGGTGGTTGAAAATGGTGTCAATTATAATGTGATAATAGATTATGTGACAGCACGTATGGTTTTGTCCTCGACGTGGGAATCTTTCAATGCCATAAAATATCTGTAGACTAAGACGCTTGAGTGTTTGTGCGTGTTAACGTAGAGTGCGTAATGGTGCAAGGTGTCATCAAGATTTTGTAAGTAGCCGCCCCAGCTCTTATAGATAGCATAACACGTGGCACGCGCCACCACTGGGTCAAACTGTATCACTTACTAAATGGAGCGTAGCAAGTGGCTTAAAACAGACTTCGTTGCCAACACTTGTAAACTCTTTGGAGTGTGTATCACCGACAAGAGGCACCGTTTCATGACCACAAAATGACACAATATAAAGGCACTTTAAACTTGTGTGAGCAAACCACACTGCGACCATCTGTAATCGTAACTGAACGATTGCTGAAGCTTCCTTGTAAGTGTTGGTCGCTTGTGGAACCAATCGATCTTGTCGTCTGATTGGAATTCAATGCTGAATACTTAGTGTTCAGATTTCTAACGATGTTGTCAAACACAAAAAGAAAGCTTTAGCTAACGTCTGTTTACATGTAATTTAATTTGGATGCGAACAAACGCTGAGAACTTTTCAATACAGATAGGTTTGATTCCAGATGTTTGTGTGAAAACTATTAAGCTATCAACAGACAGTTTCTGGAAATCGAATTTGCACTCTTTAAATCGTCTGTTGGTTGCATATCGCAAGAAAATAATCATGTCGATTTTGCAGCATACTATCACGTTTGCATGGAGTGCAACACTGTTTCAAGATCATTTTATCTTAGCTCACAATGTGTAGACGAAAACAAACCTGGCTGACGTCCATCTCAATGATAGTGGTACAACATGCATGCAACTTCAATTTGTAGCGAACAAAACTGTGTATAGCGGATACAATTATTGAACGGCTGGGCTGAAGATACAGACTACCCAGCTAGTACTACATTCACTCCACATCTTCAATGCACCTTACGTTGATGTGTCACATCGTTAGGTTTTGGCTAGCATTACAGTCAATAACCAACGCAACTTTCAGTCCATTCGCGGATTTATCTCATTTCGTCCTCAGTTTAGAACAATGGCAAAAGACGAAAGCGTTGCATGTCCATTGCAGAGAATTATTCTAGAGAGAGAAGACATTGATGAGCTGAATTTTGTCGTTAACGCTATCCTCGAAGCTAATCTAGAAAGGTACCAGCACTTCACAGATATTAGCGATAGTAAGATCAACTTAAAGGCGTGGAAATATATCAAGACCAAAGACCAGATCAAAGTCTATGCCGAACGTCAGCAGAAGCGACGTCGGTCTCCTTTTCGGGCTTCACCAGTGAATTACGAATTGCAGTCAATGTTGTGCTTTGGGTCAACTCTTGGAACACTAGATGATGTCATGCTGGGCATTTTGGGTCCATCATTTGAAGCTACCCGCACCCAAAACTCATATGTCGATGATTGTAGCGGATCTGCAGTGCTTTCGATCGCAGAAGCACCAAGTGCAGAAGAACCGTTTCAGTCTGTTGTTGTGAATTGGATGGAGCTGGATTTCCGTCGTCGTTCCATGGGAATGGTCAAGAACCGCGACTACGTTTACGTCGAAGCAACCGGCATCAAAAAGCTTTCAAATGGTGGCCGACTAGGTTACCGGCTAATGCATTCCGTCGACTTCCCACAAGCACATGTTCTCGAAGAGCGTGTGCGCGCAAAGTTTTCTGTTTGCTGCTTCTTTCGTCAAGAGAACGAGTCTTCCGTGTCGGTCTACATGATGTGGATGATGGAACCAATGGCTGCAGGCGTTCGTCGTCTGATGGCTCCCCGATTTGTCAAGAAGCTATTATCCCCACTCAAGTACGCATACTATGGAGAAATGAAAAAATTGACACAGGCTCTTGAAGATCGGTACGCAGAGTTAAAAACAACCAAGTCACGAGATCCTGGTCATAACTGCACAGCTTGTAGTAAGCATTTGGGGCGTCTTGGCAAGCTATTGGGACACCACAGTACCTGCAAACGGTGCTTTCGGCATGTGTGCAGCTCATGCAAAGTCGACAAGGACATGAGTTTCGTGACACTCGAGCTCAAGATGGCTCAGCGGAAGGTCACATTTTGTCCCCCGTGCGTTAATGATGCGGCAGTGAGGCTTTCTCCAGAGTTATCTCGTGTCGAAATTCAGAGCAGCGCTTACCGGCGCCATCACTCGGCTGGATCTTCAGTATCATCATCTGGATGGAACACAATGCTGGAAGATGATCCGCAGCCGATAATGCGGTAATTGACTCGTGGCGCGCACTGCCGAATGCGCCTCACTCAGCAAATTGAAGCACAAGTCTATGAAATCTGTTGTGAGCACCTCATGCATGGCTTCCTTCTGCGGGTGACATTACTGCGGTGGATAAGGTAGCGGTAATCCCGCGTCGATCGAATCTCCATTTCAAACGAAGGCATGAGAATTGTCTTGTCCACAGGGTCAACAAAATGCAAAACGCGTCACGATCAGCCTCAAACCAGGCACCACATCGATCAAAGAGCCGCACGTGTTTTCAGGTCAGGTCATTGCAATTCGCCTTATCGTATAGCTCCTTGAAGCGATCGATATGAATCCACATGTGGTCGCACCATACTCTTTTTTATTTTCACGCTGGGACTCTTGCTCGCTCAAACGAAGGAATCCTCTGTAGTGGACCTCAATACACCGACGTGCGATAAAGTTCTTCATGGTCATTGTTCTTGAATATTGCTGCCTTAGTCACCCAAGTCGTGCTCAAGAAAACGTGAGATTCCAAGCACAATGTCTCGACGACACGGGCCGAGCAGAAGCGGAAAGCCTTGAGCTACATCTTGAATAAATCGTTTGTCATAGGGAATGACAATGAGATGGAACAAGATTTTGTGAAATCCACTTGCAATGTACCAAGCGTTTAGTTTGCTAGGACACCCTAATTTTTGCATCCTTCACTCAAAATGACAAGAAACTCAAAGGGTAATTCCGTTTCTTAGTAACGATGCTGACATCTATGCAGAAGCATGGAGTGTTTCACTCGGTTTGGGCACACCTGCAACTCCACCCGCAAGAGCTTCGTCAGGTATTTTATCTTTTTTAGTGCAGCAAATGTGATTTTTTTTAGGAGATGTGCCCTCCAATTTTAACCTAGAAAGTCTATTACCACTTTGGGTTTTAGCATTCTTTAGTAGAGTTTGAAAAGCTTTCGATAGAATTCAATAAATTTATTACAAACAAATTTGGCACCTACCGCTCCAGCGCTTTTGGCAGTGGTCAACATGCTGCTGACTTTCTGCCCACACCGCTTTGCATGAGGTTGCTCATCGCTTGCTCTTCGTCAGATGATTCCGTGCCATCTTTGATACGGTGCGTTATCCTTGACAGACAGCAAGCGAGACGGCGACACAAAGGCGGATTTAGCAAGTGTGACAGCTTTAGGGTCTTCCATGGACGATGCGTTGACTTGCAGTGCGACCAATGTCACAAGATAAACCCACATCACAAGACGCATGATAGATGGCACGGCTTGACAGCAGATTATCGAGGAAGACTTGCGTACAACGTAGAAGAGAGCGGAACGCAGTTGAAAAGAGGTATATTCAGTTGGAATGAAGTGGATAAAAAGCTGGTGCTAGAGCTGGTAAAGCAATAATGAGGCCATGCTTCAGAAAAGGTCTAGGAGATTTTTCAATACAATTGCATTATGCACTCGTGCCTACGTCACATTTTTTGTGCATTATTATTAATGCTGTTTGAATAAGTTACTTTGCCTCTAATTGAAGCTGATACTGTAAGCGCGTTGCACAAACGCAGCTTCGAATTATCTGTGCTCACAGGTTCGGACGGCACTGTGTCTAATTAAGAAAAAATTCTTTGCAAGATTTAGCAGTAAACGCAAATGGCTTAATCCCGACAAACTCAATTTTGTTGTATTTGTAAAGTTCACTAGCGTCTTATTCTTGGCCAATTGATCCGCTGATTGAATTACAAAGATAGAGTAAATTGTATGTCCAGCATCGTTCACGTTGATAATGTCATCGGTGTACGTTCATTTTTAAAGATGACCGCATTTATTCCTCTAGCACGACCTTTTTAAACCATTCAAGGCCAAGGACGTGCTCACAGAAGCGTCAACAGAGGCTGGTCACTGCACACGCTAGAAGTGTTATCGACAGTTCAACATAAACTTTAATGAAGCAATACGTCGGAATATGACACGGTATGGAATAAATCACTACATACTGCATTTGCAGGTGCATTCCCGACTTGCTCGATCCGAATTACAAACGCTTTTTGTTCCAATGCGTGTGAATACAAAGACGAAGCAGAGTCACTTAGTTCGCCTCAACGAACGTAATGATCGCAGAACGATGAGAGAGATTCGGAGAAAGATCATCAGTTGTGCATTGTCAAAGAAAGCCCGTGCGGCCAGTAGCACTGGCGACACTCGTTTATTGACACTTCGCTTTAGACATGCCTTTGGATGCTCTAGAGATTGCAATGAGTTCTTCCAGAAGGGGCTCGAGCTCGTCAATTGGCAGCATTGTCGCCGCGTCGCACAAGGCCGTTTTTGGATCAAAATGTGTCTCGAAGAAAAACCCATCAACACCGACTGCTGCGGCCATTCTCGCTATGGTGGGGATAAACTCGCGGTCTCCTCCACTCGTAGTGGCCATAGCATTTACACCGCTTGGTCGTTGAATGCTGCGGAATGCCACAAATCATGTTAGTAAGAGGTTTCATGCAGCTGATTGAAACACCACGCAAAACCTATGAGTAACGTCTTGAACAACAAGACCATTGGATCTACGAAGTTTTAAGAGATTTCTTGCATCAACTACCAAGTCTCCGTAGCCAAACATACTTCCACGTTCTGTTAAAATAAAGTCTTATGATACACAGCAGCAAACATCATCTTAGAACACGCCAAAGTGTGCCACACACGAATATACACCAACGCACCAGTATCATCCTGAGTGGCTTCAATTTTCTTAGCAGCTAACATCTAGATACAACAATTTAAAGGTTGCTGTTAGTAATCCAGATAAGTTTGGTTTCAAGAATTTACGCACCATGGTCTCAGCAGAAAGCATTTGTCCTTTCTTCAGGTTCACAAGCCTCCCAGAGTTTGCAGCAGCTACCAGTAGATCAGTTTGGCGACTAAGAAACGCAGGGATCTGAATGATATCTGCCACCGTTGCCACGGTAGCCACTTGGTGCGTCTCGTGGACGTCCGTAAGTACTGGCAGTCCAGTCACTTCCTTTACATGTTGCAGCATTTTAAGTCCACGTTGCATTCCAGGACCTCTGTAGCTATTCAAGCACTGTCGATTGGCCTTGTCAAAGCTTGCTTTGAAGATAACAGGGAGCTGTAGGCGTCGCTGAAATTCTGCCAAGCTGTAACAAAACAATTGATAGGCGTTCAAGGTGTCATAATATCATGAACTTTACATATCAATACCGATAAGCAATAGCCAGTACAACCGACTCAGACTCTAAGACACATGGGCCAGCGATAAGGAAGAACGGCGAAGCCTCTCGTAGGGTCTTGGCCAGCACTTGACGGTGCATTTGACCTCAAAAATAGGATTTTATTACATAGAAACATAGCGACTAAATTTTGATCCATGGATCCAATTAATTTGACGTTTTGGACTATAATAGAAAAACTGACACTATAACTGCGATGTAGGCTACAGGACATACACACCTGCCACACCATTTTAGTGTGTCTGTACTTTAAGTACATTGGCTGTGATGTGCATCGTACCTAAGGTACAATGGGTTTGGCTAAGGACAGTGGATACATATGTGTATATAGTAGAAAGGGCTACAAAGCCAGTCAAATATAGTGACTAGAACTAAGCATAGAGTACTGTTTCGATATTAGTGCTAGTAGAAGAAAACAAATCGTTCACTTTAAAAACTACTCCATTAACATTAGTTGCTAGAGCACATTCCTTAAAAAGAATTCGTATTTGTGATATTGGGCTCATAGAGACGTTGGTTGTACAACAACAAAGGCTTAAGCTTGTAAAGCTTGCTTTGTGAGGGTTAATACCCTAACACGTAAAGCTCTTCCAGCTTGTCATCCTTTAAACTTAGTGCATATAGTAGCTTGGCGACGGTAGCTCGGCTACAACAACGCCTTAAAATGAAATGCATCACGTCATAATGTGCGTATTTCTATGTTATCCTGTGTATCGCCTAGGAATAGTAGTAATCGTTTTTGCAACTAGACTCATCTCGATGCTTTTTGATTGGTATGAATGGTGCTCAAATTAGTATCAGCCTGACCAGATCTTAATTTTACATGTTTGGAGTAGCGGTTTTGACCACTCCCACAAGTCGCTTCAAGAATCTTACTGGATATGGAGCGGGATTGCGTGCGGCCTGATACATAAGAAGCAATTCGAAGGTATGATCAAACATGAAGCTAAGAAAAGAAAAGCAATGCAAGTATCACGTTGACGTCACCTAGATCAATATGAACCCTACACCACCTCAATGACCGCACTTTTTATGTATATGTTTTCAAGCATAATAAAAACCACGACTGCTTTGACAAGTCGAACAAGCAGAGACCGAGGCCGTTGGTCGTGGTGAAAATACGCTTGGTTTATAAAAATGCTAAGTGAATATATCAAGGTCCTCAGTTGACAAACCTTCTATTACTCTAAGCCTTCTTTTCAATCATCAATTAATCAATGAAGAAGTCCATCATCAATTAATCAATGAAGAAGTCAATCATCAATCATTTAATCAAGCATCGATAGTCAATAATTTATTCAGTCAATAATTCAATCATCAGTCAATCAATCATGTCGAACGAGACGTCTTGACAACACTCCCTCTCGACTTGTTAGCGACATGCCGCTTTGATTCCAAGCATGTCCCGGTGATATTCAAATTGCAAGCCGTAATCGGATTTGTCATGAGATCTGCCTTCATGTCTTTTGTTGGACAGTATTCCAGCATTACTCGACCGTCTGCAACCTTTCACGAAGTAAAAACGAATGTTAATATGTTTAGTGTGAAGCCGGATTCTTGGACAATGCAATCGAGCCTTGGTTGTCCTCCTAGATTATGACAGTTTCATCAATTGTCATCTCTCCAAGCTTTCACAAAAATAATTTTAGTCACACAGCCTCCTGCGTTATTTGCTACGAAAAGGCCGACGTGGCGGCCAAATTTGCAAACTTTGTTGCCTCTGCTGAGACTTTGACTGGCAACTGGGTCAAGGTTCTTTGCAGTGATAATGGAGGTAATTACAAGTCGAGTGAGATGATAAAGTTCTACATCAACCGCGAAATCTTGCAGAAGTACACGCCTTTTTACAACCCTGAGCTTAATGGAGTCGCAGAGCGGATGAGCCAGGCATTATTGGAATGTGCTCGTTGCATGTTGAAGCATGCCGGTTTGTTCAAGGCGTACTGGGGCGAAGCGGTCATAACTGCTACATTTCTTCGTGATCAATTGCCAACTCGTTCATTCAGTCAGGATAAGTTGCCGCACCACGTCTGGACTGGTAGGAAAACGCTACTGGCAAGCCTGAAGGCGTTCGGTTGCCATGCGTATGTAACGGTGTCATAGCAGCAACGCGGAAAACTCGATGCTCGCTCATTATGCTGCCGAGGGGTATTCGTAAGTATGGATGATGAGGCTATTGATCACGAATCATCATCTCCACCGGGCATCGCAGGTAATAACGACGACACTGTGCCTGGGTTCAAGCGCCACACCCGAACTTCTTCGTTGGAACACGCAGTAGAAATTGCGGTGCTGAAGAGGCAAACTCGTTTACAGACAAGACGACACATGTCAACATTTGCGCGGGCACCGTACGATCTTCACGCAGCGTATGTTGAAAATTCAGTGGGAGAAATGCCGACAACGTTCAAGTCGGCGATAAAATTTAGTAAGCGGATAAGTGGAAGGATGCGTGTGACTCCGGAAAATGGAATCTCTCCAAAAGAAAAAGACGTGGTCGTTTGCACCATTGCCAAAGGGTCGAAAAGCGATCGGCTGCCAATGGGTATTTCGGGTCAAGGAGAACCAGGCTGGTGAGATTGAGCGTTTTAAAGCACTATTCGTTGCTAAAAGATTCCTTCAACAATACGGCATTACTTACGAAGAGACATTCGCACCAGTGAAGCAGTTTACGTCAGTCAGAATAGCGATTAGTCTGGCACTTAAGTACAATTTGGCTTTTCATCAGATGGATGTCAAGACGGCTCCTTACAAGAAATCTGGATGAAAACATGATCATGGTTCAACCGGGTCGTACCGTTACACGCCATATCAAGTACAATATGGCTATAATAACGTCCCCATTGTTATGCATAATTAGGTAGACAGTATTGAGAATATTACATAAAGTAGGAAAATGAAAAGATACGAATAGCGTATCTTTTAGTGTCATTATTTGATTGGTTGAAAGTGGGGTTTAGCCCCATTTCACCTAATTAATAGTTGACACATATTTGGGTGGTTCCCAGAAGATTAAGGATTGTTGGATCTAACCTTAAAAATAATAAACAGAGTTTAAATTAGTCTTAAGCACGCAATTAAATTGCATACTTCTTACGCTTCCTCGAAAGACCTATATTGTAGGCTATATTGTTTGTTTAAAAACACAGTCATTTCGTTTGCAAGCTGCAGCGGTCACTTTATGGATTGAAGCAATAGCCGCGAATGTGGAATAAGACCATCGACGAATTTATGCTTTAGCTTACGTTTACGAAGTGCAAGTATGACCATTGCATCGACATCAAGCGTGATGATGAGCACATAATTCTTGTGCCCGTTTACGTTGGTGACCTGTTCCTTGCCAGTATCAACGACAAAATGCTTATGGAAACTAAGTACGCACTTAGTCAGCGATTTAAGATGACCGACATGGGGAAACTCACATACTTTCTTGGCGTGGAAATTATTCAGGACGATTCTGCTGGGAAATGTTGATGCGGCAAAACAATTCGTCAAAGATATTCTTGAAGAGTTTGGCATGGAGAACAGCAAACTGGTCAAGACACATCAAGACCCAGGACTCAAATTGACAAAATCATGTGCAAAGGAGGTTGAAATCATGCAGAAAAGATGGCAAACGTCCTTTACCAATGGGTTTGATGGCTCATGTATCTTATGGTATGTACTCGTCCTGACCGTGCTGCTGCAGTGGAAGTACTTAGTCAGTTTGCAGCCGACCGTGTCCAACCCGCTAAAAGAAGACGCATAAGATCGAGTTCAAGCAAGTGGTAACTCACAAATACAAGGATACTCGGATGCGGACTATATGGTGGAAATGATACTACATCAAGCAGGATGAAGGCTGATGTAAAGAGGAGTTCACGCTGGAGAAGGCAATGAAGCAGCTGCTACACTTTTTCGTGAACAAATTACCCCGCGCAGAGCATAATGATGCTCACCAACCATGGCCTGAATGAAATCTGGACATACACTACTTTTATTTTGAGGCATCAAGAAATGCTGCGGCGAAGGATTAAATTGTTCATAGACAATAACGTTTGCAACGCAAATCCGACAATGCAAGCGTAGACGCTGTAAAGGCTAAGTTCGGTGGGAAGAGACTCTCTAATGCAAACAAACAAATTCGCGCTTCTGCAAAATCGACGTGCATTGAGATGTAAACTCTTCGTTTCGGCAATTACGTGGTGAATGCGATTCACATAAGTCGCGTCAAAGTCCACGGAAATGCCTTATGGGTGGAAAGTTATGATTACCTGAAAGCTGCCCGAACACAACACAGAAAAGAGACCGCTCTAGCAGACGAGGCAACGTTTGTCCTTGCAGTAATGACTAGACAAATAATTAGATATACTGAATCTAGAAAGCGTTTCAAGTCGTGGTTAGTGACCCGGATCTGGATAGAAACACGGAGGAATTCTACAGCGAGTGCGTGACTGTAAACGGATGTTGGTTACAAACTTTTGCATTGCTTAAATGGGCTATACTCATGACTATTGCGCAGATAGACCCGCTTTTAATGCGTCGGCTTTATGTGCAGTATGCTGAGGATTAATAAGGAACAACATTTTGCACGGGCAATTAAAGGCCAATGCTTTTGGTAGCGCTCCGCAGTGAACACCACGTAGTCGCTAGTATGAGCGCTGTTTTTATATCTTTGATGTAAAGACTCAAATAACATTCTCATTATTCGGGAATAAGGTTGCAAGGACGAAAAAGGAAGTGTTGGAAAACGTCTTAATGACAGTGCTTCATTTTTCGATGGAAGTGCATATGTAAGCCTTTTGTACATTCCCAATAGCCTCCATCTCGCACGTGGACTATGATTCTGTCCTAAAGATAGCCCCAAGACCTAGCATCAGTCATAAGACTCACCGACAAATTCAAGCTAAATGTCTTTCCTACTATGCCAAGGGGAAGAAAACTAAGAGTGGGCAGTCCAGGAAGGGAACCGGAAATAAAATTTGCCAATTAATGAGATCGAAGAAGTTATCAAAAGACTAATGTATTCTTGCGATAGACAAAAAACAGTACATGGTGAACATCGTTGAACATCTACTATTGTAGAATACGTTTTGGCCAAG